GCCTCCCACTGGACCAGTCCTGACTCGCCGCTGCTTTCCCACACCGAAGGTAAGTGAAAAAAAAAAAACATAGCGCAAGCATCAGGTCATTTCGACAAGTACAAGTACTTGTCAAAATGCCCTGTTTTTTTCCACCCTCACCCTGCAGCGCCCTCAGGCGGCCACTTGCCTTGCGGTAGCCGCGGTGCCTGGTTGTGGTGGGGTGGTATATGTTCAGGTACAGGGTGTGTGTACATTGTTGTGGTGGGGAAATATATGCTCAGGTGCAGGGTGTGTGTGTACATTGTTGTGGTGAAGTATATGTTCAGGTACAGGGTGTGTGTGTGCGCGCATTGTTGTAGTGAAGTGGTATATTTTTAGGTATACGGTGTGTGTGTGTGTGTGTATTATTGTGTTGGGATGATATATGTACAGTGTGTGTGTGTACATTATTGTGGCAAAGTGGTATATATATATATTCAGGTACAGGGTGTGTGTACATTGTTGTGGTGGGTCCATATATGTACAGGTACAAAGTGTGTGTGTACACATTCTTGTGGTGAAGTGGTATGTCATGTGTCCTGGTGTAGCGGGTCGCACAGGCAGTGACAGACAGTGTTGTGGTGAATGGGGCTGTCAGTGAGTGTTTATTTATGACACAAACAGAGCAGAGGGCTGCGCGCCCCCGACTGGCGTACTCCAGGCATTGCGCGCTCACAATTGCACATGCCCGTTCCATTAGTGTATGGCGCTCGGCAATACTTGGCATGTTAGTAAGTGATTAGCGAGCTGTTGTCATTGTTCAGTATAGCGCTGTAGTGATACTCGGAGCACGTTTCCTCCATGTGCCCTAACTCTCCGTATATGTAACGTTTGTTTGTTCCCCATAGCGCTCACATAGGTGCAGTGTGGCCGTGGCTGGAAGCCGAGCTCCTTCTGACTGCACCCGGCGGCCCCGCGCACAGCCCCCCGTCTCTTAGCGACCGCCAGCGGTTCTTAACCCTCTCAGCACCGCTCTTACCTCGCCGCACTCAGTGTGAACACCATGTGCTGTGTGAGAGGAGATAACCCCCCACACTCACACACATAATATTACTAATAGCCCAGTGTACTGCGGATCTTACTACAATGAAAATAGTGTAAACTATTTTTTGAACTAGTCTGTCCCCTTTATCAATAATACTGCCAGCTGCCTCTTCTCTAATGTACTACAGCTATAGCTATCATTATTTTCCTGCATCAGTAATAATACAAATCTTTATTTAAGAAAATATGAAAAATAAATTCTCATATTTAAAATCTTCCGCATTTTTTTGTATTATTTTTTTTACAACTTCTGTAATAAAAATGACGTCATCTATTATTGTATTATTTATTGACTCTATCATTCAGATTGTAGATCACTCTATTTTTTTTTTCTAAGTGTTTGCCCTCGTGAAAAGTTGCTTGCGAAATTTGAAATCTGTAATTCCACTGCCTGGAGCCAATTGTGCTCGGTTGCCTAGCAACCCCTCCATTATAGCACAGCAAATGTCATATGAAGTCATTTTATGAAATAGAAAACAAATGGGAACGAATGGCTCCCAGGCCAGTTTTTTTTTTTT